GTCGACAAGGCAGGACAACTGGATGCTCCCAACAAACTGTGGCCGCAGTGGCCTAGGACAGGGCCCAGCTGCTCTCCTCAGCCTGGACTCTGGAAGGAACAGACCCAGGAAGGCCAGGCCTGGCAGGGAGAGGAAACGGACGCCTTCCCAGGCCGCTGTATCACAGGTGTGGGATGCAGCCACCGTGTCCCTGCAGTGGACACGGCAGGAAAGAGACCCAGGAGGCGGGTCACAGCACCTGACTTCTCAGCCGGCAGCCGAGAAGCAGACAGTAGCAAAGGCACCTCCGCATGATAGCAGCAGCCCTTCTGGGTCCTGAGGTCGTGGAGGACAAAGCGCCCAGTCTCTGTCCACACAGAGACGGCAGGAAGACAGAGCACAGCAGAGAGTCAGGGAGGACAGAGCGGCTCCCAGCCAGCCCAGGGAAGTGGCAGCCTCACAATCCTAGAGCATCAGGCAGGATTCCAGAAACCCAGCGAGCTGGAGCTGTGAGTAGGTGACACCACATTTGATGGCCAGTGCACTTGCCTATGAGCCCCAATACTGCTACTGTCAAGCAGAAAACAGTGAGTCCCCCTGCCACAGAGGGGGATGGGGGGGAGGGATACTTCGAACATCAGGGGTAGAGAACGGGCACTGGTGAAGGGATGGGTACTCAATCACTGTATGACTGAAACATAAACATGGAAGTTTGTAAGTCTGTAACTGTACCTCACGATAATTCATTAAAAAAATTTTAATTTAATTTTTTAATTAAAAAATACGTTTCTAGTATAAATAATATAGCAGAGAGTTGGAACATATGAAAGTAAAGCAACATTGAGTGACAATCAGGAGATACAAAAAAAATGACCTCAAAAGAACATTTTATCATCTTTTGGTACAAATGTCATAGATTACTGAATGGGATAGTTCGTTTTTAGTTTGAATAAAAAGATATAGTACAGTAAAATAAAAAGAAAACAGTGAGCCCTGCCCCAAGCTCTGTATCCACATCTGCCAGGAGATGAGGGTCAGCAGGAAAGAACCTGCCCGAAGCCCCCAAGTTGATCTGTGGCCAAGAAAACTCTCAATCCCTAGCCCCACGGCACTCTGCACCCCCTTTCCACTAGGTGCCCTGGACGTCAACCCTGGCTTCCCAGTGGCAGGGTCAGGGGCCGCCCCACCCAACCCATCCAACTACATGCTCACATTACCCCAGGGGGTGGGTTTCCCCTCCCACACACCACCTCCAGGGCTACACTGGGGGTAGCAAAGCTGACTGGGGAGATGGGGAGGCTCAGGTCTGACTCCCACCAGGGGGAGCGTCCCCAGAGCCCAGGATCCAGGGTGGCTCGGGGCCCAGCTGTACCAAGGCAGCAGGTAAAGGACGCTGAGTCGAGGAGCCGAAACCCAGTAATTTCCTCATTTGTCTTGTCAACGTGCTTGTCCCGCAGAGTGTCAAGTTCATTAGCTAAAGATTTTCTGCTAAGAAGATACTTAGTGCAGGCCCAGGAAGCAGCAGGGGCCCCGACTTCGATGGGGACCTCTGACCTCCAACCTTCAGGGAGCAAACCCTGAGCCACGTCCCCACAAGACACAAAGCGATAACCTGTCTGTCAGGCACAGAGCTCAGTGGTGAAGCGCACATCTCCGCTGGAAACAGCCGGCCTGCAGCAGCACCACCAAAATTAAACGGGAAAAACAAATCCCATGGCTCCCCCATGCAGCGGTGCTCAGCTGGCCCCTGAGCAGGTGGAAAAGAGCATCCATACCCTGGCAGCCACCGTCGTCCTCAATGCCCCACCCACCTCCCTCCACACAGCTTGACATGGCGCACGATGGGTTCCTGTCCCTCGGCAGCAGATGTGAGCATCCAAGCTGCAGGGGCACCTAGCCGATCATCCAGCCGGCCCTCCAGACAGGCCCACTCAAGAGCTAACCCAGCGCCCACGGGGCAGCTTCTGCCTTCCCCACCATGCATCACGGCACAACCCAGGACAGGGCACTCAATACAGGCGATACAGCGCAAATGGAAGGGCAGAGTGCCTGGTCAATTTAGTCGGTCACTTTAAATCTCGCCCATCCAACAGGTATGGATCAAAATAGATAATGGGGTGGCTGGGGGCGGGAGATGGCAGCAGATAAAAGCCCCAACCTCTCTCTCTCTCCCTCTCTCTCTCTCTTTGTCCCTCTGTCTCTCTCTGTCTCTCTCTCTCCCTATCTTTCCCACTCTCTCCCTCTCCCTCTCTCCCTCTCTGTCCCACTGTGTCCCACTCTCTCTCCCTCTCTCTCTACCTCCCTCTCTCTTCCTCCCTCTCTCTTTCTCCCTCTCTCTTGCTCTCTCTTCCTCTCTCCCTCCCTCTCTGTCCCTCCCTCTCTCTTCCTTCCTCTCTCTCTCCCTCCCTCTCTCTCCCGCCCTCTCTCTCCCTCCCTCTTTCTTCTCCTCTCCCTCTCTCCCTCTCCCTGTCTCTTTCTCTCTTTTCACACTATCTTTCTCTCCCCCACCCTAGTCTCCACATATGCCCAGGCTGACTGCAGGCTCTGTAGGTGCCCTATGCACCTGGACACGTGGCATATCCAGGCAGGGACAGGTACTGAGCACAGGAGCCTCACTCACGCACACCACGGCTGTGGTTAGAGACCAGGAAAGCCAGGACCAGATGACAGCAACTACCAAGGTACAACTGAGAGAGCTACAGAGCCTGAGATCACTGAGAGGCACAGAGCACTTGCGGGCGAGCATGGGATCTCGCCCACCAGCACACAGCAGCAGGCTGGAGACCGGAGGAAAGTCAGGAAACCACATCAGAGAACCATTAGGGTATAGTCCAGGAAAGTCCCAGGGACACAATTTCAAACTAAGAAAGCATACGTGGGATAGAGAGAGACACGTGCGATGGAATCATATATTGAAGATGAGTAGATGGCACCAGACAGAACTGGGAGGTAGGACGTGGGTCAGGGCTGCGCAGGACTGGATGAGTGATGTCATCCACGGGTAAAGCAGAGGCTGGGACATGTGGGGAGGGATGTGGACCCATCTATTTAAACTGTACAATAGGGGCCTGAGCGACAGCACAGCGGGTAGGGAGTTTGCCTTGCATGCGGCCAAACCGGGTTCGATTCCCAGCATCCCATATGGTCCCCTGAGCACCATCAGGAGTAATTCCTGAGTGTAGAGCCAGGAGTAACCCCTGTGCATCACTGGGTGTGACCCAAAAATCAATCAATCAATCAATAAATAAACTGTACAGTAAACTCTTTTAATCTCTCATATACAGTAAACTCTTTTAATCTCAAATATAATGCAAATCTTTCATACAATTCCCAAGAACCTGCCAGTGCAGGAAAATCCACTTTTGCTCTAAGACAGTGACCACCTCTGAAGCCAGTAACCACCACCACCAGGGCCCGCAGCTGACGCACATGAGCACCCTTTAGCTGATGCCTCCCTTCACGTGAGGGTCCAAGACTCACCCCAACAGGGACCTGAGATAATCTGAGCTTAAAGTCTGAGAGTAGAAGTTGTCAGTGAAGCAGGGGACCATCACCATCAGGAGAGCGGGGAAAAAATGGTTTGGGGATAAGAAAATGCAAGTGCACAAAGCAGCAGTTTGTGGCCATCCAAAATTTAATCTTACCCATAAGCTGTTTCCTATCCCCCTTCCCTTCTCCCTCCATCCTGACTCCCCTGCCAGGCGATGCCCAGTGAGAACTCCGGAGCATGTGTGGATGCACGCACGCAGCAGGAAGAGGCTGCCTGAGCAAACAGACCCGCTGGGCCTGCACCTCAGGCCCCAGCCTCTGGCGCTGTGAGCGTCTCTGTTTTGAAGAGCATCTCTGTTGGAAGCTCTGGTGTGTGGCATTTCTCTTCAGGGAGGCAATAAGAAAAAAACGAGAAAGGAAGGAAGCTGTGGTCCGAGAGACTCCTTCACCTTCTAGTCTCGTTGGAGAACACTCCATCCCACAGTCCTGAGAAACACACTGGAACATTAGGCAAGGGAGATATGGCAGGACTTGGGTGAGCAGGCAGAGGCCAGGGCTGCCACTAAACCCTTGTGCAGGGGCTGGAGTGATAGCACAACAGGGTAGGGCATTTACCTTGCATGTGGCAACACCCGGGTTCAATTCCCAGCATCCCATATAGTCACCCAAGCATCGCCAGGAGAAATTTCTGAGTGCAAACCCCTGTGCATCACCCAGGCATAACCCCCAAAATACCTGTGCAGTGAACAGGATGGCTCAGCCCTAGGACAGCACTGCCCAGATCGAAAGCTCATGAGTTGGTTTAGAGCAAAACAAACGTCGGAAATAAACCGCCACCATATACTTGCCCAGATCTCAGGCCTGCACTCACACACCCCAGTGAGTAGCCTTCCCAGGTCACCTGACCCTGGGGGACTCCAAGAAGAGCCGTCAGTCCCCACAGAGCAGAGCCCAGGACTCAAAGCCGTTCCCTGAGCCCAGCAGGGCCGTGGCCCTGGACATCTAGTGCTCCTGTGTCTGAGGAAGAGGCTGAGGAGAAGGCCCCTCACCTCCCTGGCTCCTGACGGCATAGCCAGAGCTCCCGGGGGCAGGGGTCTCTAGCTTGGGGAGGGAGGCACCCCTGAGGCACCCCTCAGCGGGGTTCTGGTAAGCCTCCCCTCAAGGAGAGGGGAGCCAAGCTGAGAGGATGCAGTGACACTAACGCCAAGTGAAAGATGCTCCCACGTGGGCAGCGAGTGGAACACCAGCTCATTCAGACCTCGGGACAAGCAGAGAGACACTGTCCCTGCACAACTGGAGAAACCAAGGCAGGAGCGGTCAAGCAGCTGGAGGAAGGTCCAGCAGGGTGAGACGCGCGACAGCAGGAGGGTGGCCCCGGGTTTCGGGTGACAGGGGAGACTGTCGAGGCACCCCCCGCCAATGCTGAGCACAGTGCTGAGGGGAGGAAGGGCCAGGAGGTGTCAGAATCACCGTTTCCCTCAAGGCCGGGAAATGTCGGCCTGCTGATGAGGGTGAGCCAGGCCCCGGCTTACCTGAGAAGATTGAGGCGAGCCTGAAGATGTCGGAGAGGCGGGAGGTGGCTGGCTCGTAGGGCGAAGCTTCATAAAACTCCTCCCCTGCAAGAAAGAGCACAGGGCTCAAGCAGCTGCTTCCCACAAGGGGACAGCTCAGCTCTGCCTGTCACTCCCCACAGCACCAGCCCTCTCCTCAGGACTTCCACACGCTTCTAGAAAAGGGTGCTCAGTGGAACAGTGCTCTTAGGGTAGCCCAGGGCAGAGCGGGTTGTGGTCTTAGATCCCGAGGAGCCCAGGGTGGAGCTGGCAAGTCGGGATTCCTGAGGTGGACTGGCCCTCTGTGTGGGAAGGAGCTGTGGATGTCCTTGAGAAGAGTGTGCCCACCCTGAGCGCTGGTGACTCCTCAGGACAGGGCCTGCCCCAAGGCAGTGCTGAGAGGTGAGGGGACAGTGACTCCTTAGAGCAGGCCTGTCTCAGGGGGCGCTGAGAGGTGAGGTGAAGTGACAGTGATTCCTCAGAATAGGGTTTTTCTCAGAGCGGGCACTGAGAAGTGAGGGGACAGTGACTCCTCAGGACAGGGCCTGCCCCAGGGCAATGCTGAGATGTGAGGGGATGGTGACTCCTCAGAGTACGATCTCCCTCAGGGCGGGCACTGAGAGGTGAGAGAACAGTGACTCCTCAGAGCAAGCCTGTCCCAGGGGCATGCTGAAAGGTGAGGGGAGTGAGGAAACATCCCCTCAGGAAACACCCTCCTGAGGCATTACGTGGAGAGCACGTAATCAATGGAGCATCACTCAGCCGTGTGCAGGCGTCAGGGTCTTTCTCAGGGCAGGCCCTGAGAGGTGAGGGGACAGTGACTCCTTAGAATGGAGCCCGTCCCAGGAGGGCATGAGAGGTGAAGGGACAGTCAGTGACTCCTCAGAGCTGGGCCTGCCCCCACAGTTACTCTGTTCAGGTCTGGCACAGGGCACACAAGAGGCTGACATGGCCCAGAGAGGGGAGGCAACCTGCCTGATATCACACAGCTTCTCACAGAGGAGCCACAGGGCTTCATACTGGCACCCCGAAAGCAGAATTTCCCTTTGCTTCTGTCCCAGCAGCAGCAGAACCTGACTGCAAGGACTCACGGTCCTCAGGGCAGAGCCTGACCCCCTCCTCCTGCCCTCGCTACCTGCCTCCCACCACCCACGGGCTCTGTGGGAGCACCCAAGCCTGGGAAGGGAAGAGCAAGTGGGTGTGCTCCCTGCCCCAGCCCTGCCCGCCAAGGCTTCAGCCGCAGAGGAAACACCCTCCTGAGGCATTACGTGGAGAGAAATCGATGGAGCATCACTCAGCCGTGTGCAGGCGTCAGGAGGCAGCCGACCCTCAGCCTCACACATTGATTTTCCTTCTGCCTCGGGCCAGCCCACAGACCAGCGCCCACAGGGCGCCCTGCCGGAAGGAGCCCCTGTTCCAGAAGATGCGCCCCAAATCCTGCCTCAGGGGATCCATCTTCCATCCCGTGACTCAGTTGGCAAGACTCCCGACTCAGCCAGCCCTCCACCAGTTCACACAGCAAATCTGCTCTAGCCCAGACCCCCAGGAAAGGGCACAGACTCCCCACCCCGACCCCACCCCCCGCCAGGCTGCCTGATGCACAGGGGTTCCATCTGGACTCCTTTCCACCCCCAAACCCACCTCCCCCCGGTCCCGCGCCACACAGCCAGTAGGATCTGTCTCCCCCTCTATCCACGGGCTCTGGAAAACCTCCTCGTGGTGGGGGTCCCAGCCACTGCTCTGTGTTGTCGGCCAAATCATATGAAGTTAGGGACGACTTTTATGATAGAAATAAAGCCATACTGTGCTTTCCACATGTGGCCCCTTAGAGACAGCAACCCCTTTAATTCTCATAGATACCATGGGCTCCTAAGGCTGGCGGTGGGGGCGGGGGGGAGTAGCGATTTTGGTATTGGGGAAGAAGGATCCTAAGGAAAAGAAACACAGGAGTCTGTTTTTTTCTACAATGCACCAAAGAAAAGGGTCTCCCAGACTGAACAGCAGCCTCCACTTTCTCAAGTGTTGGCGCCTCTGAAGTATGAAGTAAATGCCGAAGAGTTACTTACTGAGGGGCCAGACTCAGGGATCAAAGGCAAGTGTGCAAAGCCCGAGTTCAAATCCCAGCACCGTAAGCACCCCCCAAACCCTGCCAGGTATGGGCCACTACAGGGCCCAGACATATGTATCCCCTAAGCCCTCCCAGGTATGGGACATTATGGGGTCCAGACATATACACCCCAGTACATGGTCCAGATATCTCAGCATCCTCTGGCCCTACCATCAAAATGACCAACTTTGTTGATTCAAAGGGCCACTGGTGGCCCCCAGGCTCCCCGAGACTCTGCTCTGGATAACCTGCAAAACGAAGGATACTTGTGGACTCAGTGCCTGAGAAGGATGTGGTCTCATAGGCCACTGGGTGGAAAATGACACAGGCACAAGCTCACAGCCGCCAAGGGGTCGCCAGGGGCTGAGGGCCAAGGGGCCGCACAGACAGTCATGGCCTTCCAGCCACAGTCCTCTTACCCACTCCACAGCTGCTGAGGGTTCCCACACACCAACTGCCCAGGATGACGTGGGGTGACCGTGAAGGCTGGAAACCAGTGCTCTAGAGTCGGCCCCGGCCTGGGCTCCAGGGAGAAGGTTCAGCCCAGTGACTATCTCCAACACGCACCTCAGCACGTGAGCTGGGACAGGCCTGCTCTGAGGAGTCAGTGACTGTCCCCTCACCTCCCAGCGCCCCCTGGGACAGGCCTGCTCTGAGGAGTCACTGTCCCCTCACCTCTCAGTGCCCGCCCTGAAGGAGATCCTACTCTGAGGAGTCACCATCCCCTCACCTCTCAGCACTGCCTTGGGGCAGGCCCTGTCCTGAGGAGTCACCAGCGCTCAGGGTGGACACACTCTTCACAAGGACATCCACAGCTCCTTCCCACACAGAGGGCCAGTCCACCTCAGGAATCCCGACTTGCCAGCTCCACCCTGGGCTCCTCGGGATCTAAGACCACAACCCGCTCTGCCCTGGGCTACCCTAAGAGCACTGCTCCACCGAGCACCCCTCCTTCCTACCTCTGCACCCTATAATTCCTGAGAATAACAATGCTGCATCATGAAGATTAAAAACTGAAGGGGGAGAAATCCTTTACTCTTCTCTCCTCTTCACAAGAAAGTTTTTGAAGCTGTTGTCCACAGTGGCCACTGGCTCCTGTCCAGCCTTCTGTTCCCAGCAGCCACCCAAGTTGCTGAGGTCCAGGCGCCAGGGAACATCCTCCTCCGGTGGGAGACCAAGCCCCTCTGATGGTCTCCACTGCCCCCTGCCCAGGCCTCCTATGGTCCCCCTTCCTCCCCTTTCAAATAGGGGCTCGATACGTGCCCTCCCCTGGGTTGCCCTCCCCTGGGTGAGGTGCCCCTCGCCTCCTCAGCCGTGCTGATGACGGCTCCTGTGCCTCTCTGTCAGCGCTATCTGTTCCCCGGAACCGGGAGGCCCAGCCCCAGGGAAGCCCATCCTGCCATCCCCTGCTCAGACCCCAGAAATTCTGGAATTGCCCCAAACCCATGGCCATCCCAATCAGAATCCGGGGCCCTCCTGGATTCCAGTCACTGAGTCCTGCAGCCACACCCCATTATACTCTACTGCCTGCCACGTGGGGTGGCCGTGAAGGCTGGAAACTAGGGGACTAGAGTCGGCCCCAGCCTGAGCTCCAGGGAGAAGGCTCAGCCCAGTGACTATCTCTAACACATACCTGAGCACCCACCCTGGGGCAGTCCCTGCTCTGAGAAGTCACTGTCCCCTCACCTCTCAGTGGCCCTCTGGGAAAGGTCCTATTCTGAGGAGTGACTGTCCCCTCACCTCTCAGAGCTCCCCTGAGGCAGGCCCTGTTCTGAGGGAGCTTCAGGGCCACTCCCACCTCCTTCCCTCCTTGACCCACGAGAGGGTCTCTCCCCAATTCCCTGCTGGATCCCCTCACCCCTACCCACCTCACTAAGTTCAGCTCACATCTAATCTCAGCTGGGGGAAACCGGGGGTTGGGGAGATGTCTCCTTCAGGAAGATGCCTTAGATCTAAGAGCAAGGAATGAAATGCCCCTCCTTGATGCTTCCCCACCCTGTGACAGAAACCCCTTATCTGCTCGTCTGCGTCCCCTAACCCCACCCCAACTGGACTCCTGGAGGCAAAAGGCTACCCCACAGTGTGCTTTTAACTGTTCCCACCATGCCAGTCAACAGCTGCTGAGTGAATGAACGAGCCCTGGCCCAGTCACCCCACAGGTACATGCAAGGCCGCCCCATCCCGGCCAGGGGAAGGAAGCCAGTCCTGCAGGGTCAGGGAAAGTGTTGCCTGCTTTGTAGGCCTCACCGCAGGACGTGAAGCCCAGAGTCTGGCAAGGGATGTGGGTGGGTACTGCCCTGAGAAGGTGCCCAGATCAGCCATGAGGTACCTGCCAGGTATCTGGCCGGGAACTCCCACCTCTCATTCCCCAGCCCAGCGGCCCTCCTGCCCTGCCCCGACCCCCCATCCCCCACCCCTTCCTGCAGCCTTGGGGCCCCGCCCTCCACCACCCTCCTCTCCGCCCTCCATGCCATCAAGACCTCCCTCAACAGCCGCTGGGCTGCTACTTCCGCTGGGTTCTAGGCTGTCCTGAAAGGCAGTGACAGCGGTGGGCACCTGCCTCCACCGCCCCCTGGTCTGAGCTCGGCCCCGGGCCCAGGCTCACCCTCCGTCAGCCCCAGATGGATGCTCCAGTAGATCTGCAGGCACTGCAGCTCCTTCTTCATGCCCCGCTTGCAGCGGCAGTCGTACAGCGGGCTCTCCTGCAGGACCTCCAGGGCCGCCTGGCACTCCTTGTTGGCCAGCATGGTGTTGCGGTCCCGGCCTGCCAGGCACTGCCGCAGCGTGCGGTAGCGGGAGATGCAGTTGGATTCGGCCGCGCACAGCTCATTGGCCCGAACACAGTCCACCGGGGGGCGCCAGCCGTGGAGCTCGGGGCCCTGCGGGGAGGAAGGGCTGGCCAAAGAGCGGAGGGTCTCGTCTGGGTGGTGGGGAGGGAAGACAAGTGTGAATGAGGGTCACCACCATCTCTCACCCGAGACGTAGGCCTGGGGGCGTGGGCCCTTCCGAGACCTGCATGCCCACCACCTCCAAAGCACATCCAGGAGGACTCTGCTGCCCCACCCAGAGCGGGCGAGGGCCGGGGCAGCTGCAGGACCCGACACCTCAAACCCAGGGCACAGCTCCAGCTGCCTTCCACGCCGCCTTGGAGGTGTTGCCCGGCTCCCCTCACCCCTGCACAGCACAGAAAGCAGGAAGGTTCCTGGAGGAGTGGATGTAGCCTCAGCAGACACGGGGCTACAGGGCCTGCTGGGTGGAGGGGGCTGGACATGCCCCTTGGGAAGGGGGAGGGAGGTCCTCCCAGCAGCTCCCTCCAGGCCAGGGGCCCGCCCTGGAAACAACAGAACCTCCCTGGGTTGGACCTAGTACCTGTTTGGTCCAGCCTGTTTTGGACCTAGAACCACGTTCTATCATGGAGAAATGGACGCTTAGGAGAAGAAATGACAACTCAAGGTCACACACGCGGACGGAGCAGCCCCTCCAGCCCTCCGGCCCGCCACCCACTCGGCCTGAGTGCCTGGGCTCTGGGAGACGGGGTGTGCTGGGTGGTCTGAGGCCTACCAATGGGGGGAACCACCTCTTTCTCACCCACCCTCTAGTTTATCTTCTGAGACCTTCTGAGACAGATAAGGAAAATTCTGGGAGCCCGCCTGAGGAGCACCCTACTCTCTCTCCCTCACACTTCTCCCATCTCCTACGAGATCTGCTTCTCCACCCTCTCTCACCTTTCCCTCACATGGCCTTGCTTCCTTTTTCTATCAGTCCTCCTCCTCTCTCTCACTCTCTCTTTTCCTCCTTCCTTCTCTTTTTCTTTCTTTCCTCCCCCTGCTCTCCCCTAAAAACCTCTTCCCTCTATCTCTCCTTTTCTCCTTTCCAAATTCCAAATCCCACGTCACCTGCAGCAGGGAATGTGCCGCCTCCTCCTTGGATACCCCATCCTGAGGCGCATAAGGTCTCATCCCTCTACAAGTGCACAAGCACAAATCAATTCGCCCTTGTTATCCGCCACCCCAGAGCAGCCAGCCCCCCGCTCACAGAGCTCAGAGGTGAGGGGCCAGAGAGGCCCAGTGGGTCCTTCCCACAGCAACCTCGCAAGATGGATCCCTCTGGACAGAGACATCTTCCCGGCCTTCCTGAGCTCACCAAGCCCCTCCACTCCAGATCCTGCCCAGCAAGAGCCTATGCCAAGGCCAGGAGCAGGACGGCCTCGCTCAGGACATGAGGGGTAGCCTAGGAGGCTTACTCCACTCTCCCCGGCCCCCCAGATCTGAGATTCCCAGGCCAGAACCCCCTCCTCAGAATCCCAGGCACAGGGCCCCCTCCCTCTCTACCCAGCTCCCCTTCTCTCCACTTCCCCCTAGGAGGCCCGCTCAGGGGGGAGCTACGGCAGGGAGACAGCGACACCTAGAGGCCGAGCGCGGCAGAGGGAAGAGCATCCGCTCCTGGAGGGCCCCTCTCAGGCCTGCGCAGCAGGAGACACAGAGGTTGGGGGCGTTGGGATGGACAAGGTCTTGGAGGCCAGCGCAAAACACAGGTCCCTCACCCTTGGACCATACCTCCGGCTCAGGACAGAAAAGCTGACCAGGCCACGGCCAGGCACTGACCAGACTCGTGAAGAATTCAGCAGAGTGCAGGCAGGCCTGGTTGGTGGGCATCTGCCCTGGCGCCGGCTGGAGAGGTGCGCTCCATCCAAGCCGAGGCAGCAGCTTTATTTCCCAGATTCAGCACATCCTAGGTCCCTAAGCAAAAGTTGGCTGCATCTGGGCCACCCAGGAACAGCTGAGCCGAGCGGCTTCACATACACCTGCTCCCCGCCAGCCAGCCGGCATGCTGGAGCCTCAAGAGTGTCCAGTCCTGGCCCTTCCACTGTGTCCAGCCTCCCACCTTGGCTGCACCGGAGAAGTAGACTGAGACTGAGTCCAACACTCAAAGGTCAAACACTAGCCCTGGGGCGATGAAGACACCCACTCTGCTGGCCTGTGGGGAAGTTGAGGCGATCCTTCCAGAATCAGGTGTCCCCTGCCAAAGCCAATGGCTTTCCCATCAGCCAACTGACCCAGGAGCCAGGCAGAAGAACACACAGCCAAGAGGCTGCTGTTTCCTCTCACCCAGACTGCTAGTGGGCTTTCTGACCCCGGGATGCAATCAAGACCAGCCGGAGAAGGAAACCATGGCAACTCGAGCCTGCAGCTCAGAATTCTAGGGAGTAAAGGGTCAAGGTGACGTATCCAACTCGGAGGAGAGACCGGCGGACAGCACCTGGAGATAGGGGAACTGAGAGACACTCAGCCGCATTTGTCTGCCTGCATGAACTGTGCTGGCAGGAGCAGATATGCAAGTGGCCTGGTCAACAGGCCTGCCCCCAAGTCACTTCCCCCACCCCTGATCCCCAGTTCTCCCCTGCACATGCCAACTGGGAGCGAAGAGGCATGTGCAAAGAGGCCCTCCGCAGAACCCGCCTCAGATTCCTCGCAGGGGCCACTGCTCGGGACTGCCAATAACCTCCCCAGAAAAGCTTCTGCCCAAGTGGAATTTCCATCAAGGGCTCCCTACCAGGGAGGGGGGATTGGGGCTGAAGTTTTCCAACCAGCTGCCCCCCCTTCTGCCCCCGGAGTCCAGCCTCCCCCTCCAAGAGCAGGAACTGAAGGGCTGGGACCCTGCTCCATTGACACAGCAGCACCCACTGGGAGTCTCTGAGCCTGACCACCCCCACAGGCTCCTACATTCATACACTGCACCTCACCAGGAAGCTCCTCAGCTCCCTCCTTCTGGAGGGGCAGGAAGAAGCCCTGGAGGTGCCTTCTGGCTGCCAGGGAACACCGAGGGTCCCACATCTGGGCACACACAGTGCCGTTGAGTCTCTAGAGTGGCTTTCTTCCTTCCCTTCTTGGTCCTGCTCCCTTCTGACCCCAGAAAGCTGGCTTCCAAGCAGCAGCGGGAGAAAGGCCTCTGAAGGAGTCTGGAGCAGCCAGGTGCCAGGCAGGCCTGCCCGCACGGTGGCCACACCTTCCCAGCCTCCCCTCAGCCCCTCCCACTCGGCAATGCCTTGGGGGCCAACTCTGAAGGCCACACCCCGGGGCTATGCTCCCCCACACACACACTCCCCACTGGTGCCTGGGGGAGGTGGCAGAAGAGGAGGGTGGACAAAGGGCCACAGCCCGGCCAAGGTGATCTCAAATCCCCTCCCAGGCAGGAGGATGGACATTCACTGGACCACCCACCTCTTTCTGTGCCCAGCGCCAACCTCCCCCCAGTATTCCCCTCTCCCTCCCGCAGGAAGGAAACGGTACACTGACCACCACTGGCTATCCGGGAAGCCAGGGCCACCACCAGCACTGACACTGAAGCAGAGGTGAACCACAAACACAGGGTGACAGCCCCTCTCTCTAGCTGCATACACAGAGACACACAGACTGACAGACTGTCCCTCTCCACACACACACACACACACACACACACACACACACACACACACACACACAGTTTTGCGCACACACATTGGCCGGTGGTTCTCTGCTGGGCACCTACCCCAAGCAGCAGCCTTGTCTGGTAAACGAGGCGCAGGGAGTCTTGCAAGCACCCCTCTTCCCTCCCCTCCACCTGGGGACCATCTCTATCCCATTTCCCAGGCAGCTGAGCTCTCCCGCATAAATGGGGCCAGGGGCTGGGAATTCTGAGTCCAGGCTGATGCAGAGGGATTACAATCCAGAGGGGCAGAGGGATTACAATCCAGCTGAGACTGGCTTTGTTTCTGAGGGGGTGTTTTCTCTCAGCCTTCTTGTTCACCCGGGGAAACAAACTTTGGCCTCCCTCCCACCCTCAACAGCGGGAGGGAGGATCCGAGGCCCCCAGAGAGACTGGCAAAGCGGTGAAGGGTTGCTCGCCACCCTCCACTCCGGTCCACCCTTCTGGCTGTGGCTGGACCGAGGACGGAAGGGCAAAGGAAGAGTGAAACTGTTGCAAAGTCTTCCAGGGAGTGGGGCCCCACCAGGAAGGGGGGGAGGGGAGTGGGGTGCGTTTTCCAGAGGCTGATTGGCAGCAGGGGGTTGGGATGACTGGGATGACTCCAGCACTCCCCACTGATGTCCAAGCAGGAGCAGCCCGAGACACCGGAGCGAAGCTTTCCACCAGCCCTGACTGGGCGCCCACCGGGAAGGAGGGGCCGGCAAGCCTCACCCCTTTCTCCCGTCTCCCCGAGCAAGAGTTGGGTGCTTCCCCCCCACCCTTAAGTTGCCGCAATTTGAATGCATTATTCTGAGAGAAATGAGTGCTAACGCGTGTGTGTGTGTGTGTGTGTGTGTGTGTGTGTGTGTGTGTGTGTGTGCACGCCGCGGGGATGCTTTGCTGTTTGAAGTCTCCTTCCCCACTCCCGGTGTCACCAGCCAGCCGGCTCCGTCCCTCACTCGCGTCCCCGCCGCCCCGGCCCATTCCGCGGCGCGCTCTCCCCCACCGGTGCCCCCAACCCCAGCGCCCAGCTCGCTCCCCACTGCATCCCCGGCCTCTCGCTGGCGCCCGAACGCGAGACCCCCGGCCCCCCACCCAGGCTTAGGCGGGTGAGAGCCGCCCTCGCCGCCAGCAGGTACTCACCTAAAAAGAAGAAGAGGCAGAAGGCGTTTGCCAAGATCATGTTAAATAAATCCCAGTTTTGTTTTGTTTTGTTTTGTTGTCTTTCTCCCTTGGGTAAAATAATAATAATAATAAAAATAATAACGACAACGATAATAATAGCCACGCAGTATTGATATGCCCCAAATCCAATGCGGAGATCCCAGCTAGTCCACTCGATGAAGCTCCGGAGTCCCGCGTCCTCGCCTCTGGTTTGGGGGATTAGGAGGCGGTGGGCAGCTCTCGACGCCCCCAGTGCCCACTGTCACCAAACGGCACGTAGACGTGTGCAGATGCGCTTTCGAGGCGAAGCGGGTCCGGAGGGCTGCCCGAGCCGCCGCTGGTCCAGGTCCCGGGAGGCGCGAGTCCCAGCGGGGCCGAATCCCCCCGGAGCTTCCCAGGAGGGGTCCGGCGATCTGGGGAGGGGGGCGGCGGCGGTCGGCGAGGGAGGGGCTGCAAGGAAGCAGCGAGGGTGGGGGGTCAGAACAAAATGCAAATGGCAAAGAAATCCGCCGGCGGGGGTCCGCGCCAGGGACCCAACAATCCAAGTGGGAGCTTCGAGGACGAGAACCCGAGTCGCTTCTTTCGCACCAAGACGAGGAAAGAACTGCCCCCCCCAAAAAAATACAAAATAAAAATAAAATTAAAAAATAATAATCTTCTCCCGCTCGCCCTGGCTCGCCTCACTTTTTCTCCTGGAATCCCAGCGACCGTGTGGCTGCGTGCGTGCGTCTCGGCGGTGCGCTCCCTCCCGCGCCTCTCCCGCCGCTCGCCTTTGCTCTCGCTCGCCAGCGCTCCCTCCCCGCTCCCTCTCGGCGCTCCTCCCTCCGCCCGCCCCTTCCCCTGCGCGGCTCCCTCGCCGCGGCCCTGGCGCCCGCGCCCCTCTCCTCCGCCCCGGCTGGGCGCGGGGCTCCCCGGGCGCGGGGCGCGGGGCGCGGGGCGCGGCGCAGAGGGGAGAGTCCGCCGCGCGCCCGCTCGGCTCCGACCTACCCGGCTCCCCGGGCTCGGGCCCTCGGAGCACCCCCTCCTCCCTCTCCCTCTCCCTCTCTCTCTCTCTCCTTCTCTGCGGAGGCCTCGCCCCTGCGCCCCGCGGACGCCGACCTCCCCCTCGCTGCCGGGGGGCCCGGGGCGCCCCGGCCAGACCGAGGCGTGGGGGAAGGGACGCTGGCAAACCCGTAGCTGGGTGGCCGGGGTCCGCGGCGGTCTGTGTCCTCCGGCCCGGGCACCTCTCGCCCCCTCCAGCGCCAGCGTCCCCGGGTCCTCGCGCCACCTGCCCGCCCGGGTCTAGCCCCGCGCGTGCCTCCACGGATGCTCTCCACGCGGAGCTCGAGAACTTTCCCCAACGCCGTGGCCTCGCAGCCCTGCGAGACTGACTCCCCTTCCCCACGGCCATCCCTCCCCCGCGTGGGCAGCGGGCTCTGAGGCCGGGGCGCCTTGACCGCCGCCCCCCTTCGGCTCCCCATCTCCTGCGGCCGCGCCCGAGGAAGCAGCCTGGGCCTCCCCGTCTCCCCGCCGCGGCGGGAGCGCCCCAAGACCGACCCCAGGCCAGGGCTCCGCGCCAGGCTCGCGCGGCTGGCTGGGCTCCTCCGGGGCGCTCTCCCGAGACAGCCGCTGCTCCCCGCTTCTGAGACTCCCAAGTGAGGGGTTCCCCACCTCCCCCCTGCCGGGAAGGGGGTTGAGTGGTCCATCTGTCGTTTGGCCCGGCTCGCCGGCGTGTTTTAGTCACGGAATTTACAATAAACGCCCAGACGCACCCAAAGGAAGCGTCTGGCTGGGCGGAGGGCTGAAGCAGAGGTGAGGCTGCCGCCTCGTTCCAGCAAGAGGACGAGCGCCGGGCGGCCGGGAATGTGGGCACGAGGGGCGCCCGCCCGTCCGTGGACGCCGAGCACGAGCCCCCCAGCTGCCCCTTTTCTTCTCCGTCCCGGTATAGCCTGGGCTGGCTGCGTTGGAGCTGCCCGGCATCCCTAGGCTCTCCCTCACCCTTTCCTGCAGAGAGCTCTGCGCACCGCACCCCTGCGCAGGGGAGGGGTACAGTGCAGTGCCTACCTAAACTTTCCGGGCTGGCCCTCAGGAATCCGGCTGGAGTATGGTGTTCTCTAAGATGCTTTTTTAATGAACTCGAGTCTGGGAAAGTGTGAGCCTTGGAAGCCAGCCGAAAGGGAGAGGTCCCCCTCAATCCAGCCTGCTTGGCCAGGGAGAATGTTAGCCGGAGCAAACTGCATCGTGAAGGACCAAGACTTCTCAGTGAGCTGCCCTGGGTGGGGCAGCCCCATTCATCCCTTAGCCCCGCCCCACTCCCCCACTCCCTGGGCAGCCATTGAGTGGCCCTGGCGGGCTAGTCTAGGAAATTGGACAGAAGCACTCGGTGATTGGAGCTGGAGACGCTCCTTTGGGCATCTCTGAATGGTTCTAGTAAGTGACTTCACACCTGTGTTTTGGCTCATCCCAATAATTGGAGACTTGCAGCACTGACTGGCTTTAGAGGAGCTGGTTAAAGGATTAAAAAAAAAAAAAAAAGACAGGAAAGCCAAGCCTCTATGGGCATTCTTGGGCCAGAGTCTGCAGGTCAGACTGGAGGTCAGACTGCAGAGTCTGGAGGCCAGCAGGTCAGTAGCCTTCTTCCTTGTCCCCCTCCTTCCAAGGGCCTTCTGCCATTAAATGCCATTTTCCACCAGCCGTGTGCATCCCCAAACATCCCTCTCTTTCTTTTCTCCCCCACCCACCCAAAATTTAAAGTTTTGACTCTGACTGGGCAGATGAGGTTCCTGGGACATGCGTGAGCTGAGAAACCAGGGCTGCACACCCAGAAGAGCTCCTTCGGGTGACCATGCAGTGTGGGAGACACAGCTGGCACATATCTGCTGGGGCCACACGGTCTTCTAGGGGAGCACCCACGGAAGTTAACTTGACATACAGCCACTTGGACCCTCTCTCCCTCCTATCTGTCTACAAGACTCTTTTTAGCTTACCTCAGCCCTCAGTCAGAGCTGCCCTTGGAGAAGTTGGGGAGCCGGAGGCGGGCGGGGGCGGGGAGGGGGGGCAGGACTCACACTGTTAATGCCTGAGCATCTGCCTGTGAGGTTTCCCTGTGCCAGCCGCTGTTTTGGAGAAAGCCAGAATCTCCGGCCCTCCAAATGGGAATTAGAGAAACAATCCTGCCGAGATGAGATGAGCTACAGTACGAAGAGCAGCTCATCCAAGACCCAGCTCACAGAAAAGGCTTCATGAAATCCCCCCTTTCGGGTGTGGGATCCTGAAGAATGAGGAACCTTGACACGGCTTTATAATACCTAAGTGACAAATGAGAAGCTGGGTGAGGGGCTACACCCTCCTCCCTCTCCAAGTCAGCAGCTGACCCCCTCCTCCCCACAGACCCAGGAGCCTTATCCGGGGAATAGGGAGTGAGGAGTGAAGATGAAATCACTTCGCCTTTTGTTTCTTCCCTTCCCTGAAGCCCAGAATGGAAAAGACCAGGGCACAGGAAGGGAAGGGATGGCGGGAGGCCTGCAAGGGTGATTGGGGTGCGTGGTGAGACCCCGCTCCAAAGGCAATGGCCCAGCATCCCCCCAGGAGCTACTTCGAGAGTTTGAGCAGGAGAGTGACTTGATGAGAACAGTGTTACAGGGAGATTGACCTGACACCTCTGTGAAGGATGAAGACAGGAGACAGACAGGACAAGGCCAACAGCCACCGTCTCTGAGGTAATAGCGGTTCCTCCCAAGAGACTGTGGCCAGGCAACTGAGAGGAAGCAGTTGCCAGAGGCATTGTGAAGAGGAGTGGGCAAGACGGAGGTGATCGCCTCCACAGATGACACGTGACAAGGTCACCAGGCCACATAAAATGAAGGCGTCAGCCCTGCCTTCTTAGACTTCAGATTTCCTGGGGGAGGGGGGGCGGGGGGGCATCTGCAAGGCAGCCTGCGTTAGGGCAGACACGTGCTGGCAATCCTTCCACTCTTGTGACTGTGGGATCGGGACTGCCATAGCCCCTGTTCGAACCAAGTGTGACTTAATTTACCTAAGGTCATGAGTGGTGGAAGCAGGACCAGCACCCCCATGAGTTAGAAGCGAGGTCCTGAGGCTGAAGCGATAGCACAGTGGATAGGGTATTTGCTTTGCACACAGCCGACCCGGGTTCGATTCCCAGCATCCCACATGGTCCCCTGAGCACTGCCAGGAGTAATTCCTGACTGCAGAGCCAGGAGCAACCCCTGTGCATTGCCGGGTGTCACCCAAAAAGAAAAAAGAAAAAAAGAAGTGAGGTCCCACCCTGGTCACTTCTGTGCCCTGAATAAATAAGCAGAGTGACAGCTTGGGGACATTCCTATACAAGGAGCCCATTTCCTATGACCTTGTCCTGGGGCCTGGGAGTACACAGAAGAGCTGCCTAGTTCGATGCAGCTGGTGCCCGGCTCTTCTGTGCCCCAGCCCTGCGCCCGGGCGTCCCTGTCTCACCCTTGCTGGGCCACTGCAAGGCCCAGCCTGAATGGAGTCAGCTAGACTGGGAATGACACCCGCAGGGATTGAACTAATCACCTGATTCCCAAAGAGTAAGCAGGGCTGCAGGGGCCAGTGTGTGGGACTGCGAGGGAAGAAATGCACACAGCACTCGGGTATCGATTTCTCTAATAGATTTCGGCCCCATGTGCTCCCACTTCATGCTTCCTTTTAGAGACGGCACCGCAGGCGGTGGGAATCTGGCTTCACTTAGCCTCTCCCCAGGACCCCACCTATGCCAGGGAGCCCCAAGTCCCGGGATGACCCATGTCGAGGGGAGCTGCCGCTGCAGCAGGCATGCAGCAATGCAGGTGGGAAGCTCCTGGGGCCAGAAACTCTCCCCACCCACACCCCATGTGAGCACATAACACCCACCAAAAGGCCCCAGTCTTTCTCCATGACTGCAAAGCCCTCACTGCATCCCAGGAGGAGGTGAGGCACAATGCCTTCCCTTCCAGGTGAATGCACTCAGGCTGGAAATGGCTAAGCAGGTGGCCCCCGGTCACAGCATGGCCAGCAAGTGGCAGGGGGGCCTCCCCAACCCCCTCTTTGAGGAGAAGCAAACATCAGTGAGCACCCGGCTCTCCACTGCATTGACTCTTTTAGGAGATGCTAGAGAAGAAGCCAAATGCATCCGCAGACAGTCTGCCATGATGTCTTTTTGTTCCATCCAGGACTACTTCTCCAGAAGCCTCCGTCACCCAGAGGTCCTGGGCAAGCTAAAGCTCCTTCTCTTCTTCCTCGTTGGCAAGCAGGAGTGACCTGGAGAGTGGCCCGGCTGGTGAGCCTGTCAGCTTAAAATATCCCAGGCCCTGCAAGCCTTCTCCCCACCGCCCACCGGGCAGCACTGAGTGTGTGTTGGCATGATCCTGGCCACGCCCCAGCCCAGTCTCCCTGCCAGCCTGAGGAGGCGCGGCCGCCCCCAGCTGCCTGCTCGCAGCCCACCACCTCCCTCCCAAACACACGCCTCCGCCCGGCGCCTAGGCCCTGGCCATCCGCCAGGTTACCCAAGGGCAGAGCAGAATCGAGGGAGAGGGCAGGGATTGCTTCTGCCAAGCTGTGGGGAGTCAGCCCCTGCTGCCTGTGGCCCCCTGGGAGAGCTCTCAGCCCCAGCAGCTCCCCACAGGGACCGAGTCTTTATTTAGCAGGCCTAGCCGAGCGGAGCGGAGGGCTGGCCTGAGACGGACTGTCACTTAGGAGCATTTTCCGGCGCACGGCCGCTCCCAGAACACCGGCCAGCACCCCCCAAGTCCGTGCTTCTCTGCCTGCCCACCTCCCTCACGTGGCCTCTGGTCCTGGGAATTTCTTTTCGGTCACCCAGAATGGTGTCTCCTGCCCATCGCACTTGGGCCTGCCTTGCTGGTCTCTCTTGTCAGAGAGAAAAGATCCTGCTGGGATTGGGGTTGGGGTGGGGTAGGGCGCTGCACTGGGCCCCGATGAAGGAATTTCTGGTCTCAGTCATCTTTCTAGAACCTTTCAGGATAATAATAATAATCAGTTCTCCACACAAAACAGCCTTCAGGGCTGCTTCCCAAATGCATCTTCCTCGGGAGGTGAGGGAGAGAGCTTCCCATGAGAAACCGTCGAGCCTGCGGCCTTGTTGGAGGCCCAGGCCAGAGCCCATTTTCTCCGTCCTCAAGGAGGTCTTTGGGTAGATGCTTCTGGGAAATGCAAAACCTTTGAACTCCAGAGACTAAGACAGTTCGCAGAAACCATTGTGGTGACAGGGCGCGTGGATCTCCAGGGCACCCCCACTCCATGCACCCGGAGAACTGAGGAAATTCTTCCTTGTGCCAAGAATCAAGAATCTGGGAAGAATGGGGGCATCTCCCAGGAAACCCCCCAGATAGCTCATGCCCATAGATGGCCAGCAGTCCCTGTCCCTGTGGCACTGGCCTGCTCTGGAGGCCACCTGCGTCCAGCAGCACCAGCAGAGCCATCACCTCCGGTCCAGCCCCTTCTGCAGGCCCTCCCCTGGGGAAGCAGCCCTCCTATCAGAGAAGCGGGCTCTGCCTGGGCCACTGGGCCCCTCCAGGGTCTGGGCACCTGCTGCATCCCAACTGCACAAAGGGCAAGATCTTTCCTGCCCAGAGGCCAGGGTCTGCAGGGACACGGGAGCCTGCACTGTTCATAGCAATGGGTTAGTCTGGTTCCTGCAGTCTTCCCCGCCCAGAGGTCCTCCCCTGGGGCAACTCCCCAACTGGCAGAGTGTGGCACTGTAGAAAGGGCTGGAGCAGAATTCAAGTTCTGGGCTTGCTGGCAGCCCAGAGAAGAGAGCAGCAGAGTTTGGGAGGTGGCATGGTGCCCAGAGGGGATCCAGGGACGAACAAAAGAGGGGAAAGGAAAGTGAGAGAGTGAGGGAGAGAGAATGAGAGGAGAGTGTTATTAGCAGCTCTGCCCTCCGTGTCTGCGCTCCAGCCTCAGTCCCCTCCTCCCCAGGCAGACCCCCGGGAACGTACCCATGTTAGACCTTGGCTCCGGCTCTGTCCCCGGCTGCACAGGTGCCCTTAGGTCCTCTGGGGGAACAACTCCACCAACCCCCGGCAGATGCGACTAGGAGGAGGCAGAGTCCACTAGACACTGTCCAACGCACAGCACCGCTTGGACATGAAGGGGACGCAGTAATGGAAAAGCACTCACTGCATTTCGGGTGGCCCACTCCCTAAGGGAAGTTCGGGGGAGAACCTCCCCCATCTGCCCTAGGTTCCGGCCCCCCAGTGGCTCTGTGGTGAAGGGGGACAGTCCCTCCTCCCAGGCGGAGCTGGAGCTGTTGAAGATGCCTGTTGGCTTGCGGAGACTCTTCTTGCTGGGACCAGATTCTGCATGAACAGCTACACACACACACACACACACACACACACACACACACACACACACTCACACACACACACACACACACACACACACACACACACACACAACTCTCAGAGTCTCCTGGCTGTACTCGGGATGCTCAGCACATGCCTGTTGAAAGAATGAATGAATGAATGAGTGAGAGACTTTACCTCATCCAACCTCAGGCCCAGATTCTAACTTGGTTCAAAGCACTCACCCCTTCTCCCAAGCTCACTGAGTCTCATTTGGCTCTCCTGTTCTGTTCTCCCTAGGAACAATAAATCTGTCCCGAGGAAGATTTTGCCATGAAAGTTCCTTTAATTCATGCTCACTTAATTTATGCTCTTCCCCCTGAAAATTCAATTCTTTATAGACTTAGTCCGGTAGCAGGAGGAGACTTCTCGGAACCCCCAGTGCCCACACAATGAGCTGCCTGTGCTTATGTGCTGGTGGTGTGATGGCCCCGCTCGTGCCCAGCAGCCCCAGTCACCTCCAGTCTGAAAGAAACAAAGCCAGTATGACCTCAACTGTCCCTCAGCCTGACCCCCTGACGTGGCCAATGAAGGCAGAACGGCAGTGCCAGAAACACGGGGTCCCCGGGACCAGCAGCTAACACTGTTGGGTAGAGCCCATCTGGGCCATCAAACCTCTACCCCCAAATCTCATAGAGTCCCCTCTGCAGCTGTATAATGTGCAAAAAGGGGGAGCACCTCTCATTCCTAGCCTTGTCTTCCCTCACACCGGTCAGCCCGCCCCTTTCCTCTCAGCCAGCTGCCACTTTGCAGAGCGGTCTGATCAAATGAGCCTCTCCCGAGTGCTCATCTATGTCACTTAAGAGTTGCCAGCGCAGTACATTCCAGAGCTGGCCAAATGCATCATGGTTTGTTGTTTGTTTGTTCTCCTTTCTGCACTCAGTCCTAATCAATCAATCACTGGATTCTTCCGTGCCTGCTTTGCTGCGTCCCTCTGACACATATGCATCTTAAAGAAATATGAACACAGAGACCAAGCCTTAATGCGAGGTAATGGCTCTCTAATAGTGGCAGTCAGGCCCCAGAAAGGAGAAGCGATTCAGGCCACGCACTGGGAGAAGATGAGAATGGAACATGCGGCCGGCAGGGCCAAGCCCTGGGCTCTGCTCAGGGCGAAGAGGCCGTTGAGGGGTCACAGCTGGCACCCTCGAGCGCTGCTCTCATTTGCCACAGCCCCAGCCAGGCGCTGCTGGGCACAGGGTTCCCGGAGGCTTTCTGAGGAACCTTTATGTCCTAGATGGGGGTTCTGCAGGTGGCTGGGAGGCAACTCTGCACTCTGAGGTGTGTCCTGCCTTGCGTGTGTCCAGCCATGTGTGTGTCCTGCCATGGGTCGTCCAGTGGGGGTGTCTGAAGGATCTTCAAATGAAAGCCGCCTCCCCACACATGAAAGAGAGGGATAGGTTTTGTTGGAGGAGATGGTTGTGCCGAGAAAAATAATCAGCATGGGCTAGAGCGATAGTACAGTGGGTAGGGCATTTGCCTTACACACAGCTGATCCTGGTTCAATCCCTGGCATCTCATATGGTCCCCCAGGTACCACCAGGAGTGATTCCTGAGCGCAGAGCCAGGATGAACCCCTGAGCATCGCTGTGTGTGACCAAGAAAGAAGGAAAGAAAGAAAGAAAGAAAGAAAGAAAGAAAGAAAGAAAGGAAGGAAGGAAGGAAGGAAGGAAGAAAGAAAGAAAATTGGCATCATTGGCATCTGAGGACTAAGGTATATAACTTCCTGCTCCTGCAGGGGGCAGGGGTCTCTTCTCCGGCCAGCTCCGAGGGAAGGGCACCACTGGCCCATGCTGGTTCCCAGCACCTGTAATGCTCTGCCCTCTATCTGGCTCTATAAGATGAGGATGAAGAACCGCCCTGCCTGGAGCCGGGGCTGAGGGGGCAGAAGGACAGGGCTGAGGTTGTCTGTGCCCCATGAGCTGCCAACAAGTCTTACCTGAGCCTCACAGCCAGTGTCACCCTCTGCAGTGAGCCCAGCCTCAGCACTTCCCCCTGAGAGCCATATGAGAGCCCCGGAGGACAAAGAAAGCCTGGGGTGGGCAGGAAGGAAACTGAAGGGCCCAGACCCCACATGTACCCAGCCCCCACCCCAGCCTTGGGCCTTCCTCCTCCTGCTTCCTCTGCTTTGCCTAAGAGAGGCTGGTATTTCCAGGACTCAAGGGTGAGGTTCGAGATTCAGCGCCTCCTTCCCTCTAAGGCGAGGTTCGAAGTTCAGTGCAAGGCTGAGAGCTGACAGGTGAGGATTCTCCTCCAGGGGGCTTCCTGCCAACCCTCTCTGCCTCTTCCCAAGACCTCCACCTGGCACTCCTGACTGATCTCAGAATAGGCACAGCACAATAAAGCAAAGGCCCAGCCAAACGTTCGAGCCACCACCACCTGGTGTCATTCACCCTCGAACCTGCCTGTGCAGTCAACAGGCCACCAGGCTAGTCATCATCGTGGGGCTCCTTCTGGCCTTACGCTCACTGGCCATGTGTTTCTGGATGCAACGCTGCACTGGATTGTGTCTGAAATAAAGGTGGACCCGCCTGCCCACCTCACACAGCTGGTGACTCCCTGAACCACTGAGGTCAACACTGGAGCAAGACGAGATATAGTCGCCAGCGGAAGGACCGGCTACTGGGGGCCAGCGTATGGACAAAGAAGCAAAAATTCTCTGTATGAATCCAGTTTAAGAGCTATGGCGGCAGAATCAGGGTCTAAGAAGGAGGAGGTGGGTTGAAAGCTGGACATGTGTAGAAATGGAGGGTTTACCAAGAATAGCCGAGATAAATACCAGGAGGTTTACTCCATGGCTTGGAGGCCAGCCGCACACTCTAGGGGTAAAGGCAGCTCAGATAGAGAAGAGAGCACCAAATAAAGGGTGTTGGGAAGATCTGCCCATAATGGGAGATGCATGCTGAAAGTAGACTATAGACCGAACATGACTGCCACTCAATTCCTCTTTTGCAAACCACAGCGCCCAAAAGGAAAGAGAGAACAAAAGTGAGTGCCCTGCCACAGAGGCAGGGTGGGATGGGAGGGATGGGGGTGGGAGGGATACTGGGACCCGTGGTGGTGGAGAATGGGCACTGGTGGAGGGATGGGTATTCGATCATTGTATAACTGAAACCCAAGCACAAAAATTTGTAACTCTACAACCGTACCTCATGGTGTTTCACTAATAAGGTAAAAAGGTAAAGGCCCTCCCGTCGATCGTCGATTTGCTCGAGCAGGCCCAGTAACGTCTCCATTGGAGACTTTGTTGCTACTGTGTTTGGCAAATTCGATATACGATATTCACTAATAAAAATTTTTTAAAAAAAGGAAAAGAAATGGGGGGTTTAGAGTCATATGTAGAGAAATAGCACTGAGTTCTCGCTGAGGACATTCTCTTACTCAGAACTGCCTGAGGACTTAAAAAGAAACGGTACGGCCTGCCCCACGGGGAGTCGTAGCTTGCAAGGCTCCTATCTTTCAGTTAAGGTAAAATGCCAGGCCTCAGTCAACCTAACGGAGAGACACACCCAGCTGTGTGAGACGCATCTCCTCCCCCAGCAACTTGTCTACAGGCGTTGGACCCCAAGGTTTATTCAGCGTAGGTTCCAGGGTCTGGAACACTGGCTGGGGGCTCTACTCTGCTCTCTCCCATGGCTGGACATGAGCCTCCTCGGTCTCCGAAGCCAGACTCCAGAGGGCACCAGTGGGAGCGGCCACACCATGCAGGCCCCCTCGGCCCACAACTGTCTGGCAATGCCGGCTTGGCACATGCCTGAAACGGCTAGTAGGTCGGGAGAAGGCAGAGGCAGTCACATCTCTACTTCCTGCAACTCTGGAGGGTCTGAGTCACGGCAGAGACTATCAGGGAGTTGAGCATCTGCTCCCGCCCAGGCCCACAAGTCCTATAGGCACAGGACGACCTGTATCCTTCGTTTTTAACCTGAGGGGACCTAATAAGTGATGTGTCAGGAGTCCAGGGGCCACTTCCGGTGCTTCTCTGCCAACTGGGTTGAATGTGAGTAACATGTGAGTACCCAGAATACCATGCTGCTCAGGCCCTGCGGTCATAGCGTTGGAACTGGTCCAGGTGCATGCACACTGTCCACTGAGCCATCTCCCATGCCCACAACCTGCACTCTTTTTAAGTCCAAACTTCACATTATTCTGTGACTCAGAGAAGCCCAGACATAGAACAATCACAATCAGGGTTATATATTGTCATCCAGAGAACTCAGGGTATTGTTATCTGGAGAATTAGAGATGGATAACAAAGAAGGTCAAGGTGTCCCTCCCCTTCGGTGAGAAAAATAAGACCAGAACACGAAATGCAGAAGTAGCCAGTCTCCTAAAGCAGCTCCTCTCACGGCCTAGGGATGAAATTTAGCAGAAAGCACTCCTGCCTCGAATATGTGAGGCCCTGGGTTTGATCCCTTGGCAATGCACAATAAAAATGCTTTAAATTCACCTTATAACAAAGCTACGTCATCCACAGCACAACCCTATCCACGCATGCGTGCAGTCCCAAGAATTGGGAGGCCCCTGAGCTCCTCCTCTGCTCACTTCCCCTGGACCCCCAGCATCCTGGTTCTTTCTCCTGCAGAGGGTTGTGCAGCCTTTGTCCTAAGTGGGACAGTGATATCAGGATGCCCCGCAAGGCTGCAGAGCAGCAGCTGGTGATGCACGGGCGCTGGTTCACACTCACACAGGAACACACTCAGGCTCACACCTCTCAGCCTGCTTCTCTTACTGGCTACATGGTTTCGGGCAAGTCACTTCACCTCCTGTAACCTCAACCTCCTTATCCAAAAAGTGGGATTATAGAAATACCTACCTCCTGGAATTGTGATAGAATCAAAAAATCCTACCTCCAATTATCTTGCAGGAGTCATTTTTGTCAACTGTAGATGTCTCTGCAATTACACAACCCAAAATAGTTGTGGATAAGAAATCCCCCGCGTGGGAGAGAGGTCAAAGCTGCTGGAGGGGGGACGAGGCAGGGCACCCCCACCCACGGTCCTGAAGACACTTGCTCACACACCTGAGAGGCCTCTGAGCTCCTCCTCTGCTCACTCCCCTTGGACTCTGCATCCTGGGCTTCTTTCTCCTCCAGAGGGTTGTGCAGCCTTTATCCTAAGTGGGACAGTGATACCAGGATGCTCTCCGAGGCTGCAGAGCAGCATCTGGTGATGCACGGGTGCTGGTTCACATTCACACAGGAACACACTCAGGCTCACACCTGCTTGGACACACGTTGACCGTCACTTGCACACACATATACTCTTCACACACATGCACACACACTCATGCATACATATTTGTACACATACATTCATACAGACACACACACACATACACACACTTGAGCACACCCACATGCACACAATCGCACACACACACATTCTTAGACACATTCACACAAACTCACTCAGACACTCCAATACATACTCGCGTACGACACTCACACTCTTACACACGTGGACACACACACACACTTTCTCACACACACTCTCCCACATGCCAGAGTCTGGCCTTCCCTGACCTCCTAGTCCCTTCTCTTGTCCCACTTTCAGTTGCATCTGGCTCAAACGTGAGGGGCCGACTGCCACACATGCAACACCCCCCCGCACCTCCACCCCGTACCCCACACCCGGCCCTTCAGGTCTTACCCTTCCCAGCCCAGAGCCTTCCATCTAGAATATCTTCCCACCATCTCTGCCTGTCAAGTTCTTCCCCAGGTACTTAGAAAAATGTCAACAGCAGTTATCGTTGGGTGATGAGATTACAGATTATCTTCTTTCCAATTTTCTCTATTTGGGGATTTGGGAGAGGGAGCCGTGTTATTTTTATAATCAGAAACACACAATGGAGTTTCTGCCTTCAAGTCGCTGCTCCTGCAAAGGCCTTCTCATCCCAGTTTCCCTTTGCCCTCTTTGGAGCCCCGACAACTCCAAGCCTGGCACGGCGGGCTTTGCACTCTATCTCCACTGCCATGCTGGAGAAGGTCTGATGTCTGCAAGCAGATCTCAAGCATGTTGAGAGCGGAGATGTGGAGGCTGTCCTGCAGTTCTTTGAAGAGGGAGAATCCCTCCCCACCCCGAACCCTGGGACCCCTGCACACCCTCATGTGGGGACTGTTCAGAGAGGCATCCTGGAGGGTCTCACACCAGCTTCAAGAGGAAGAATCACTGGAAGTTAACATGAAGGGGACCATGCCTTGGACAGGCTGCTTCTGCCCTATGATTTGCCCACTAATAGGATTTGATTACTCCCACCACTTATGTGGCCCGACTAAGGTCTAAAGAGATAAAGGCTTTGGCCCAAGAGTCCAAAACCGACATCTTCTGTTACCCAGCCCAGTGCTTTCACCCTGAAACCACAACTGCCACTGCAGGACCTTATTAATAGTCATTTCTACCCTAGTCAGCGGTTGGACATGGCTTGCCAGGTTAATAATTTGTTCATTAGGCGCCTAATGAATTACTTGTTAATTGCTAACTTGATGAACAGCCAGCAGTCCCCATCTGCCTGGAGAAATGGCAGCAAATAATCCAGAAGGGCCAGCCAAGCCCCAGCTGGAGAGGCTGAGTTTTCAGCCTAAGGGGGCGGCTGAAGCTCCCCGGGATGAGGCTGTTCAGGCTGGTCACTCACACCCCAGATTGGGGGGGTAGCCTCCCACCCCCCGCCAGCTTCTTGGCAGTCCAGTCCTCACAAGGCACCTCTTGCTGGCCCTGCAGGTGTCCAGGCCAGCCCACATCTGTGTCTCCCCAATCTTTCAAATTCCCATTTCATGAAGCTTCCCACAGCAACTTTCCTTCCTTGTCCTTCTCTCTAAGCTTCGAGCACTGCAAGTCAGTGCTGCTCCGCCTGAACCTCACACGCACATTTCATGTCACACCGTGACCTTTTCTCTGAGCACTGGCCCAGTGGCCCCATCTTTAAAAAGCTGCTATTTCCCAATCAGACTCTGCCAAGCATCCTGTGCACAGATGCACAACGTTCTGGCTGGTCCTGTATCCCCAACAGCATCACATACAGCCCAACTATGTCAGGACTTGTGACGGGAGGGAGTGATTCTTTTATTTTTTACAGGGTAGTTAAAATTGGTATTTATTTATTATTATTTTTTAATTTTATTGAATCACCGTAAGACAGTTACAAGCTTTCATATTTGGGTTATAATCACACAATGATCAAACACTCATCCCTCCACCAGCGCACGTTCCCCACCACCAATATCCCCAGTATACCCCCCCTTTCCCACCCTCCCCCTGCCTGCATGGCAGACAATGGGAGGGAATGATTCTTACCTCCTTCGGGTATAAATCTGTATTCATCGGCTCAGTCTGTGAAAACACAGCCCCTGGACCGAGTTGCTTACCCAGGAAACTATTCTCAGAGTTCTAGATGCAGGGAGGGAGGGAGGGAGGGAGGGAGGGTTTGCCTCCTCCTGGTGCCTCCTTGGCTTGTCCATAGCCACCCTCTGTGTCCTTCACAACCATTTCTCTTTCTGCTCGTCCCTGCTGCCTCTTAGTGTCTAGACTTCCTCTTCTTCTATGGACACCCTTACAAGACTGCCTGAGGGTCCACCCTAATACCCTCATTTTGACTTAATCGCCTATCTAAAGATCTGAGGCCCAAATACAGTAGTATTCAGAGGTCCTGGAGTGTGAGGACTTTTCTTTGGGGCATCCCAACTTCTCACCCAACAATGGGGGTGAATATTAAATACTCAATACCCACTCCAAAGATGATACACATTCCATCATCTCTGGAAGGACTGGTCTGTAGTGGCCTGCACAGGCCCCTAAAAATTTCCAGAGTTGAGTGCTTAAGGCGAGCCCCTCTTAGTCTTGTCAGCTCCCAAATCCTAATAGCTTTGTTATTTTGGAAACTGCTCTGGAGCAGCGCTGAATAGAGCTGATGATTTCTCACATTTGCATAGCAATTTTTCTTATCAGAGCACTGTCTCCTTTATCCTCCAGCATTGCTACGAGGGAGGAAGAGGTGAGTTAAGATGTCCATCTTAGGGACAAAGAATTGAAATAAGAGGGAATTAATCTACTTTCCCAAGTCACATTTAGCCTGATATGTGGCTTCCACCCCCAGGTTCCTTCCTGGCCACCCCCTGAAGGCCAGGAATCTGCCATTTTCATCCTGGTGCTGAGCCAGGAGAAGGCATGCTGGGAACCTTAGCTATGATGATGATGATGGAGATCCTTAGGACTGAGCATCCCTGAGCACCTAGGCAAAGTCACCAGGTGGACAGCCAGCTTCAGAGTCTGACTTTCAAGCTGGCCTGCCTTTCAGTCAAGACCCTGAAAGCCAAGGTTAAAACTGAAAATGAATCCGGGGAATAACATATCTATTATCGCTTTTGCACTGCTACCAGTGACGATAAGGAAATGTGTTTACAGAACAATTGCAAAATGATTTCACATATTATTTATTTTTATCCTTTTATATCACGGGTATTTTTAGAAGCTGCCTGAAACCTATTGTGGAATAAAGCAGGATATGAATTCTTTTAAATAATTCATATTTTCCTCTGAATATTTCTTTTAGGTAGAGAAAGACATCACACCCATTTTCCAGATGAGTTAAAGCAAGGCAGGTAGAGGACACAGGGGGCCAGGAAGTAGGGCAGAGCTGGACTCGGATCCTTGGGTTGGGCTGGTGTGGAAAGAATCCCCTGGGACCCACACAGGAGTGGTTCCTTCTGAGGGAGCAGGAAGCAGAGAGGTCCACACCAACAGGCGCCAGATTCTGTCTAGAAGCATCCTCTTTGCAGATAACTCACCACACCCAGTGAATTGAACTGGTACGAGAATGATTTTGATTGGGCTGCTGTCTCCCTCACGCCCGCAGGCCATCCCACACAGGGCATTCCCCGTCACCTTGCTAGCTGGTTGCCATGTTATAAAGCCTGAGCCCGTCCTATCCGTCAACCACGGCCCTGCCATGGGCTCCCTAAGCAGCCCAGCAGATGCATAGGTGGAGCAGCCTCCTGGCTTGAAACGGGCCTCAGGAGGAGCTGGGGAACAGGAAGTACAGACCACACAGCCCACCACTGAGCAGCAGCATTGGGGCCAAGCCAGACCCTTCCTGCACCAGTTGATGGGATCAAGCCCCCTAAATGTCTATGGTCCTTCCCCCACCTGCCTGGGCATTGCTGGGGTCCCGTTAACACCTGCTGTGATCATCCTCTAAGACATGGTTTGAATAAACCACTGTGGCCTATCAGCAACTCACTCAGCTCAGCCCCAAAGAGCCGGCAGGCCTGGGAAGATGAATGCAAAGGCACAGAGCAAACCTTTCACAGTGCCACCACCCACCATTGTCGCTGGCTCCCCTATGAGCCCAAGCAGCCCCGTGCAAACAGCCTCTGCCACCATCACGAGCCTGGACTGTGGGAATGGTATTGATCTGCAACCTACCTGCATCCTACAGTCCCCTGCCCTGCTCACCAAGCGTCTGCCCCAGCCTGGGTGCACTCCCCCAGACCCCCCCCCTCCCTTAATTAGCCCAAAGCCTTGTAGTTGCTCTTTTATCCTCCAGGGCTGTCCCCTGTCTCTTCAGAGGCTTCCCCTCCCCGGGGCCAGAGTTCTTCTTGGACATTTGCTGGTAGCATAAATCAAATTCTATGGACGCGGGGGCTAAAGCAATAGCACAGCAGGTAGGGTGTTTGCCTTGCACGCAGCCGACCCAGGTTCGATTCCCGGCATCCCAGGTGGTCCCCCAAGCACTGCCAGGAGTGATTCCTGAGTGCAGAGCCAGGAGTAACCATTGTGCATTGCCAGGTGCCAGTGTCCAAGACCCTGGTGCCTCCTGGAGCCCTCTGCCTACCTAGGGTGCCTGCAGGCTTGGGGGGGGGGGGGGCAAACCATTGTCTCCCTCTCACTCAGGCTTTACACAGATGGCCCCTTACTTAGGTTTCAACTTGAGAATTTTTAACCTAGTGATAATGAAAACTTGATGATAATCCCTGTTCAGTAGATACCTGGCACTGAATTTTGAACTCAGACCTCGCTCAGGGCTGGGGATCTGATGTCTCTGCTTCTCTGGTGTTGCTGGGCTTACCCGGGCAGCCAGGTGACCCCAGAGGCAAACAGCAAACCCTGGCTCTGGTCCTCACTCTCAGGATGGTGTTCCATCAAGGACAGACCCCAGGCAGCCCTTCTCTCTTGTTAGTCACCCTGTCCGGGCTTGGTGGTACAAGTGTTCTGAGCATGTTTAAGATAGACAGGACTGAGGCGTGGTGAATCTCTCATAACTTGAGGAAGTTATTTCCCAAATCCAAGACCCTGTGCCATAAACTCCCCCAAATGCCTGGGATTCTGGGGTCTTCCTCCATCCCCAGTCTTATCCCTTCTGGGCAAGGTTCTGTTTCGTTTTCTTAAACTTACAACCAAAATGACAGAGCCTACAGCCACTCGACCACGAGAGGCCAGCATGCCCACCCTCAAAAGGACCTCAGCACTAAAGATTCCCCACTTCGCATCATCTCACCACAGACTTTAGATAAAGGTCATGCTCCAGTAAAACTTTCTTCATGGAAGTAGGCCAGAGGCCAGCCCGGGCCTACCTGTGAAGGTCTGGCAGTCCCTCTAATGGACTGAAATCCCTTGTCTGACATCCTTGTTCCCTGTCATTGCTCCAGAGATGGGACGTCACAAAATTGAGAACTAAGAACACCAGTTCTCGAAACTGCTCACTTCTGTGTCTCCTCTACTCTAGAAAATGATATAATTGAGCTCAGACTCTGTATAGCAAATACTGCTTTGCAATAAAGTGTATTTCTGAGAGTGAAAAGGAGAAAAAAAGAGTTACAGGAAGTTGTAAAACTAAACAACAGCAAACAGAACAACACAGACTGATCACACCCCGATGTGTCTAATGAGCACAGCCACACTACTCAGGACTAGCACCCATGGGTGCCGGGACTACCCGGACTAACACCAGGAGAACACCATTGCTGGTGTGGATCAGCAATGTGTTGGGCTATTTTCTCCCAGAGGAGACAGAACTAGCCAGGTCATGGCCACTAGGTCTATTCCGTTCCCACCCCTGCCTTAACCTGACCATCACTCATCCATTTCCAGCAGGCACTGGACCTTTCTATGAAGCATGGCCTTTATCTACAGTCTGTGGCTGAGGTAATGCGTGGTCTGCAAACCAACCGGAAGCTGCTCCTTCCCAGTGCTCCATATCCGGACTTGACCCCCAGAGTAGCCACAGAAAACCACTTCCAGAGAGCATATCCCCGCATGCCTGGGATAGAAGCGACCTGAGGCACAAGGAGACCAACCCAACTCCGAGTCAAAGAACCCACAAACCCTGGAACTGGGGTGCCGCAAAGCAGCCCTCCCCGCCCTGGCCTGGAGTTCCCAGTCACCCCTTGTGTCTCCCCTGCCCTGGGTCTCCCCTCAGCGAGTTACTCTCTGCTGCCCCCACCAGGCAGGATGCGCTCAAAGGGTCTCTGATGTAGTATTTTAATTTGAAATTCTCCCAAAGTCATACTTCCCAGTACTGCACCTACATAATTCATTTTTATTACCTAAATATAGGGCTTAATATTTGTCCCTGTTAAATTTCATCTTGTTTGTTTCAGGCATCACTTCAGCTTATCAGGATGTTTTCAAACCCTCAGCTATCTCTCTGGACCTCAATTATCCCTTCTAACTGTCATCTAAGAATTTAATAATCCTGCTCTCTGTATCTTCAGCCACATCATAGATTGAATCATGGAACTGAACAGGGCTTAAGACTGAGCGCCTCGGCAAAGCGCCCCCTCCGAAGGCTGAGATTTGAAATTCCAGCAATCTCCTTCGGGGACAATTGTCCAGTAACTCTAAGTCCACATCACGTGCGCTGTCAACTGGACTTCTTTTATTTTCTCATTTATTCACAGGGCTGCCGTGAATGATTTTACACCGCCTGCTCACAGGCAGACTCCCCCCCGCCTCAGCCTGCAAATCTCAGCTCTGCCTTTCATACCTGAGTCCCTGCCCACACCACCAAGCGCCAGATGCTCTGCGCCTAACGGTCAGCTGAGCCTCGTCCTCAGAGAGAGCAGACACTCTGTGTCTCGCTCTGTCCCCGGGCTTGACCCACATCACCCACCACTCTGTGGGGCCAGGGGAGGCATCCAACCTACTCCACACCCAAATTTTGTACCTAGAATCAGAGGTGCGCGGCTTTCCCTGGCCCCCACCGAGCTCCCGGTGAGCTGGGCCACTCTGGGTTAGGGCCCCAGTCCATGATGAACCCATTTTGGCCCCCTTCCTCCTGGGAAGCCATGTTTTTTCCAGCCTTCTCCCATGATCATAGCAATGTAATCATAGGGTCCTCCTTGTTCCCCAATATCTGTGAGGGCCCTGTGCTCCTGAGTATGTTCAGGAAATTAAAAAAAATAGACTTAAGAGGGGGCTGCTGACAAGGCCACCACACCCTACCCAAGTCCCATAGGCATGGGACAAGGTCCACAGGGGAATGCGATCCCCACCACCCCCTACCCAGTTCCCTGCAACTGAGCCCAAGAGCCCTATCACACTGATTACCAATCTACTAACTGTCAAGAAAAAGGGAAGGAGGGAGTTGCTCTGCTCTGTTCTAAGTGAACTCATGCTGGCTTCTAGCAATCTCCTCGCTTTTCCACGAACTCACAAATCATTCTTTTCAGTTGTCTGTGTTGGAACGATGCCAAGAATCAACATCGAAATGACAGAATAATCATTGCCAGAATCAGGAACAGTTCCAGGCTATCTGGGCCTGATGAATGGGTGAAATCCTCCTGGGGAGAGCCCTACCCTGTCAGCTGTTCCCTCCCGTTCACCCACCACTCACTCACCTGCGTGCACGGGCACGCACACCTGGGCACCCCAGTCCATCCTCAGAGGCATCTATTCCTGCAGACTCCCAGCATCCCTGCTTCCGGCCCCTCTTCCCTGGTCTTACTCCATGTTGTGCTCTCCACTTAACTCTGCAGGAGTCACAGAGATCTTCATATCCTGTCACTCTGACTGTGCCCGAGCAGCCCCAGGATTCCGGGAACAGGGAGACGGGCACTGGGGCAGACTCTGACCTCCGTCGCAAACACACCTCCATCTGTTGGCGGCGGCCCTCCTCCCCAACCAGGGAGCTGACGGGGTGCTGCCTGCCCGCCTCTCTCGTCCTTGTCAGCAGATACGTCAAAGACACCGTTTTCCACGAAGGAATTCAAAGCTTCGACAGGAGTCTTCTCAGAATCATAGTAATTAGCATTGAGGAAAGCTGCTCTCACCAGCATCCCTCTTTAACCTGTCATTTCTGGGCTGACGTCAGAACTCTAACTCCAAGGTCACCTGTCCCCCACATCCTCCCCAAACCTGGCGGTGCCCCTTCTCTCCACTCCCAGCCTTGTTCCAGAAAGCTCCGGATCTGACCTTCCCCAATCACAAATGCCATCCCTGGCCTGGCAGAGTCAGACCCTCGACAATGCCATTCTAGACAGACAACTCGTGTACTGCTCAGGGTCATCTGGGTCATCTCGGCCTCCTGGGCTTCCGGGCAGGAGGCCGGCTTCAGACACCACGTCAGAGCCAGATGAAACCCGTCAACTCCTTGGATGAAGGAACCGAGGCTGCAAGAGAGAAGGAACTCATCCAGCCCAAGTCACGGGGCCAAAGTGAGAGCTCGTTCCTGTTACCAGGTCCATCCCACTTCCCGAAGCACCTGGGAGGCGCTTTACATAAACTTGTTCTAATTTTTATAGTCACTCTTTGAGGTCTCACTATCCCCCATTATTTGTTGACTGAGAAAAAAGGAGTGATTTACCCAAGGTCACATGTAAGAGATTTTACACACCAACTCACGGGCGGACTCACCTGATCTCAGCCTGCGCATCTCACTGTGCCTTGAGAGGGCCCCAAGCTCCTGGGACCATTCTCTCTTAGACACCCACATCGAGGGTGGACAGAATCAAGCCTGGGCAAGTCTGTGAACATTCAAGAGCCCCGAAAGCTCCTGCTGCAATGCCCCAGCATTGTCGTCTCCACCGGTGACACTCAACTCATGAGCCCTTCCTAGATGCAGGGGGAGGACCACGCATGCCAATGTCAAGGAACATGGAGCCAAAGATATCTTCCTCAGGGGCTGGAGCAATAATACAGCGGGTAGGGCGTTTGCCTTGCATGCGGCCCCCGGGGTTCAATCCCCAGCATCCCATATTGTCCACTGAGCACTGCCAGGAGTAATTCCTGGGTGCATGAGTAACCCCAGTGCATCACTGAGTGTGACCCCAAGAGCAAAAAACAAAAAAGCAAACAAACAAAAACATCTTTCTTAGAAGACGGGGAGAGGGTTGGTGGAGAGTGTGTGCCTGCACTCTGGCCTGCACTGGGGAGGGATTAGGAAGAGAGAGGAAGCAGAGAGGATCCCGAAATGATGGCATCTTGGAGGGCACGACCCAGCAGCTCCCTTCGGTATTGGTGGTCATGCTTAGTGGAGAGAGAAGGTCCTCAGGTCCCCCCCACTGGCCCCCACCTAGCTCCACTCCCCATTCTCCACCTTAACTCCAGCTCTGGCAGACAATTGCTTCCAGGGCATCCCAGAAGGTCAGGCTCAGAGTGTGGCAGAGCTAACACATCTGGGCCCTGATGTACTTGCTCTGCCCAAGATGCTCTGTCCAAGCTACACAGACCCAGTTTCTTGAAGCCATGATTCTTAGTTGACCCCTTAGCATAGCACATCAGTCTCATCATCTGAAGGTCCCAAGGCTACGAGGCTTTACAGGAGGGGATCTATTGGGGGATGGGAGAGAACTGGGGCGAGAGCAGTTGTCCTAACCTGGGACTGGGGAAGAAGCAACAGAACCCCAAAAATTTGGCCTTTGCTTCTCTCACGATGGCCATTTGCTCTCTGCTCTCAGGAGAATGAAGCATCACTTTGCACTCATCAGCTGGGTTAGACCATTTTCCCCTAGTTTGTCTTTGCAAAATGAGGCTGATAATAGTCTTCACTACACGGGTTGGTTGGAGAAATTAAATGAGATGCAAAGTACTTGCTATGGTTGCTGGCACATAATCAGCACACAATAAATGTTAGATTTTTTATTATTGTTTTTATTTCTATCTTGATGACAAATGTATTATTTTTACACAGTTATAAAGCTAAGAGAACCACGAGGTAGGCCCTACAAATTTCATTGCCGAAATCATGTACTTTGGACAGTTCTATTATATTTGTGTAATTTAAGCAAAAAAAAAAACAATTTTTTTTTATTTTCTTGCAAAAGTAGGGGAGGAAAGTCCTGCCCCACCACTCCACCACCCTGCCTGTGCTCATAAACACCTTTCATTTCTAGGAGATTTTGCACTCTTCCTCCTCATGCTCTGCAGTATGATTCTGAGGTCAGTGGGGCAGGCTTTGTTACACTTCCTTTATTAGATCCTGACACTCCCGGCCGAGGAGGTGTATGTGGCTGGACTCAGAGTAATCCCAAAGCCCCATCCAGCCGGAACACAGAGGCAGATAGCCAGAGACTGGAGCGGGCTGCTGGCCCCTGACCTTCGCTCTGTCCTGCTCTGCCCCAACTTCCGTCAGACAGGATCCTCCCCTGGGAATTCTCAAGATTTCACAATAGTTTTTTGTTTGTTTGTTTGTTTTGGGTTTGTACGGTACAGGGGGACCAGGTGGTGCCAGGAGTCAAGCCACGGGCTCCTGGATGAGATTTTTTGCTCAAAAACTGTTAATTTTTAAAGGAGAAAAATGCTAAGATGTGTATCCATCCCGCAGGGCTTCCTGGACTCAACACTGACACTCCCGTCTCCGCCTCAGCCCCTTCCATCTCCCTGCCCCACCCCATTGCTTCCAAGGAGACAGGCAGACTCACTCTGGGAACAGGGTCCCATCTGGCTCACCTCTGGCTACCCCAGGCCCTGCTCTTCCAGGTGAGACTACCTCCTGGGGATTCCCTGTCTTGAGTACCACTCTGCCAGTTTCCTTGTCTCCCACAGCTGTGAGCTCACACCCCGCCAGGCAGGCATGCTCGCCAAGACCTTCTCATTCTTCTCTCCTAGAATTTCTTTTCCTATGGACCTAGCTCCCGCCTCCCCCCCCCCCCCCCCCCCCGGACCTTGGCCAAGGTCCCTTTTCCAGAGGGAGTCCTCTGCGGCCGTCCCAAGCCAGGATGTTTACCCACGTTTTCTGCCTCCCTGCAGACCACTGTGGAGACTGATTTCTTTCCAACAGCAGGCTGTGTTATTAGAGGGTCATGGAAATCAATTCAGTGGGTCCCAATGAGTATTCTTTAGCCACATCAAATTGAGTTGAATACAAAATATAAGGATATCATGCAATGATGAATATGGATCCCGGCACCCTCCTGCCCGTAAAAACCACACGTGGTGCATACTGATGTCATGTAAAGTACATTTCTTACTGTGAGTTCCTATTGGAACTGTTTTTGTTTTGTTTTGTTTTGTTTTGTTTTGTTTTTGTGCCACACGGAAAGCTCAGGACTTTCGCTCTGTACTCCAAGATTACTCCAGGAGGGCACTGGGGAATCATACCTGGTGCCAGGGATCAAACCCAGGCTAGTCACATGCAAGGCAAGCACCTTACCTACGTACTATCACTCCAGCTTCTTGAAACTTTTAAAAACAATGGGCATTAGAATCACTCCTGGCAGTGCTGGGGGACTATATGGGATGCTGGGGATAAAGCCCAGGCATGTGCAAGAGAAGTCTGTATCTGCCTGACTTCTGTATCTGAGATGTCAGTAGTGGGATGACGGAGAAGGGGGGGTGGAAGGAGGGAGCCCTCCTCCTGGGAGAGAAAGCAGGGGCTGGCAAAACAGGGTTGGACTGTCTGCCTCCAGTGTGACCAGCTGTTGGGGACAGGCGTTCAGCCCTGCCACTGACGTCTTCCTAGCCCGAAAACCAAATAGCAGAAGTTGAAAAGTCCATCCTAGTGCATAGATGGTCCAGGCCAGGCTAGCTTGCTCTGTGACAGTGATCAAAGAAAATCTCCATGACTTCACACGGTTTATTTCCCCACTCATGCAAATGCCAGCTCGGGTCAGCTGTCCCCAGGCAGAGCTCAGAAATCTAGGCTGCTGGCGTGGGTCCCAATGCCTCCTTTCATCTCTGCAGATTCCTAGTGAGGAGGCAGGAGAGAGAGAGAGAGGCAGACGGCTGCACACAGCGACACGTGTCTGTATTCCTCTCACCCACCCTGGGAACGGGCCACGTCACCTGGCCTGCCCCAGAGCACACAGATCTCTCGAGAGGAGCAGTTGCATCTCAGTCATTGGGCACAGCCATCTCTGCCACTGCCAAGCCTGGCACCTCCTTGCCTCACCCTCACAGTCACCATTCCTCCCTAGCTGTCCATTTGGTGATGCCACGGAGCTTCTGAAAGCCTGTGCTGACCCCCCTGGAAATACCAGGTTGACTAGAACAGTGTCCTTATTTGGGTCACCCGGAGACCACTTTGAACCAGAGCACACATGGCCAATGGAGGGGACAGGGAACCCCAGCAGGAAACACGTTGTAATGATGTCTGTGACCCGTACGTGTCTAAAGCCCCATCATCCCACAAAGCAACCCTGAAAACAATGTGCCACACCCCACACATGCTCCACTGGAGGGGCGAGAAAGCCCCCAGTCCCTCCCCAGCAAGGACCCACAAAGCCTTCAGTCTCCTGTCTCAGCTCTGCAGCCTCTCCTGGGGCTGCAACGAGCATGGAACCAGCCCCAGCCTGGGAGATACCATGGCCATGTGCAGGAGGCTGCAAGGCTGATTCTGCTTCCCCAGGCCAAAGGGCAGGAGGAGCTGCCACGGGGCCTTCCTACCTCTGACCCCAAGTGCACACAGGAGCCCCAAGCTGCAAGAGCACTGCCGTACCGAGCCTTGGGTGTGTGGAGCATGAGGACGACCCGCCGTGGATCCAAGATTGGCAGAGCGAAAAGGAGAAAGAAAGAAAGAAAGACGTGGAATTGACAATCAAACAATCCGGTTTTCTCATCCGG